TCATAGTGCAGTATTATATAGTCTTCACTATTTTCAACTATCAACTTTATCTCTAAATTGCATTTTCTCTTAATTTGTGTGTGATTTCTGTCTCGTAGCTATATCGTGAGCTTCAGTTGGGCAGGCATTCATTTACAAACATTTATTGAGTATTAATAGACAATGAAGATACAAAGAGCTTATATTCTAGTTGAAGAAACACACATGTAAACAAATAGTTGGGATCTAGCAAGTGTTAGGGGAGCAAGAAATATAGAACAGCTAATTTCTTAGGGCGGGGCTTGGTGGTGGGAATACAATTCAGAAAGGCTCTAAAGAAAAAGGTAAAACATATTCTAAAAGGATCGATGAGAATTTGCCAACAAGCATGAAGAAGAAGATCTTTTGAACAGGAAAATAGCCAACACAGAGCACAAAGTTATATAAATATAAAATATGACACTTATATTAAAAAGTTTTGTCTGGCTAAATTGAAGGATTTTTTTTTAAATATAGTGAAATCATCACTTATACATTAGAAAGATACATCTGGTTGCAAGATAGATAGAAAGTGTGCCAAATGAGGTAGGCCCTGGCGAGCAGGCCATTGTATTATATTAGCTAAGTGATGATTTAAAAGGTTGAAGTGTAGACAAAAAGAAGTGGGCTGTTTCAATAAGTAGCTAAGATTTAGAATTGAAGGACTGAAAAAAAAGTGGAGGATGAAGAGTTAAGAAAACTCAGAATGTTGAGTTGAGGTTGCTGGGGAATCAGTGCTGCCTTTATATGAGACTTGTCACATATGAATAAACACATATGAAGAATGGCATCGTATACTGGATTGAGTGTCGGAATGTTTAATATTAAGATAATTTTGTGAAATCCGTGTTGATCTATACAATAAGTCAGTTGGTCAGAAGTGAGCTTTGGGTTGATGAAGATATGGATTGATCATGTAAGTATGATCCCTGATGGTGGCGTGGAAGGGGTCATCTGAAGAGTGGGATTGGAGAAAAGAAATAAGAATGGAACCTCAGGGAACCACAGTAACTAGGCGGGAGGTAGAAAAGGAGGACCTAGTTAGGAAGAGTGGGAAACTGCCCAAGAGAAAGGAACAACAAAATTATCTGGCGGGCGGGGGTGGTGGGGATAGGAAAGCAAATAAAGCATCTCACAGAAAGATCCCCTGTGAACGGAATTGTATGCCATAGGGTAGGCTAGAAAAACATACATAAACTCTCAAATATAGTGGGCCATTGGATTGCTAAGCTTGTTTAGATCTCATTCAGAGAACTGGAGTGGGGCTGGGGCCAGAGTGCTTTTGCTGGTACGTGGCTGCTGTTGAGAGGAACTAGTGATGTGTCACTGAAACTTATCCCAGAATTTAATAGAACACAGAACTCAAAAACACCCGGAGAGCCGAAACCGGTTTGGCTCAGCGGTAGAATGTCGGTCTGCGTTCTGAAAGGTCCCAGGCTCGATTCCAGTCAGGGGCATGTATGTTGGTTGCGGGTACATCCCCGGTAGGGGGTGTGCGGGAGGCAGCTGGTCGATGTTTCTCTCTCATCGACGTTTCTAGCTCTCTATCTCTCTCTCTCTCTCTTCCTCTCTGTAAAAAATCAATAAAATATATTAAAAAAAAAAAAAAAAAAAAAAAAAAAAAAAAAAAACGAACAACAACAAATAAACACCCGGAGAGAACAGGGCCCAAATTCAGATGCCCAGCATCCAGGTTAGAGCCCACACGTGGCAACCGCCCCACAAAGAACTGAGCACCGCCAGAGCTGAGGCTGAAGCCACCTAGCAGGGGGAGAGTGCGGGCAAAGGGAAAGGACACACCCACATTTGGTGGAAGATGTGAACTTGGAGGAGAAAATGCACTTTTTCTTGAGGCATGTAGATTCCTTCCTTAAGACGTTATTATTTAGCTATATCCAGTCACGCAGCTATCAGTTAAAACAATAAAATCGTTAAATTTTATTTTAGGTGAAGCTTGAGTCCTCTGTACCACCATCTCTTTTTCATTCCCACAGTGGCCAGCGCGTTGGTGACGGTTACTGAGAGTCTGGGAGCTACTGCAGATGTCATTCGTAATAAGAAATTTTTAATTGAAAGTCAAAATGCAGAAACTTAAGAAATACAGAGGAGAAGCACCAAGACAGAAGCATAGGTTACTATTTTGAGAAATATGACTGGTGAAGGAAAGAAAGGAACTTAAATACAATATATTTGTAGAAGAGGGCGATGTCGGGGAAGAGTAAAGGATAATTGACAGAACTACTAAGTTCAGAAAGAAAATAATGATTTTAAAACCTCAAGTGAGGTTCTAAATCTTAGATAGGATGTGGGCAGCACCCACAGTTAACCAGTTATAGTCAGGCAGTTTTGTTCTTTTTGATTTAACAATGAAAGCTGGCCAGGATCCCAATCCCCATGTCCTGGACCAGATAGATGCAAACAAATACACAAGAGAAGGGACTCTGGAGGGATGCAAACTTGCTGCATTGTTGCAGTTTGCCCCACGGCCCTATGTAGTGTTTATCCTGTGACCTCAGTAAGATGCATGGAAAGATCTACAGTTATTTCTACCCTATTTGGCTCAAGGCCTTCCCTGGACTCAGGCTGAGTGCTGTGTGATGCTGGATTTCTCGAGTGCATCTCACTTTAGTTTCTGCTCAATCTTTACTGCCTGCATGCGGGATAAATGATGAAAAGAGAAGAATCTACACCAATAAAAGAGAAAGATGCAAATTGACCATACCTCTGCGATGCCCACCAGCCAATCAGGAGTGAGTACGCAAATTAACCCAACAAATATGGTGGTTTAATTTGCATACATGAGCATCAAGTGGCCTAGGTCCCAGGAACATCCTCGAGACTCATGCCACTCGAGCCTGTAGGCCCGAACGTAGTCCCTGAGCTGCTGAAGTGCCAGAACTCCCCTGGCCAGGAGTGGCCTACTAGTGCTGGCGCCAAGTGGCCAGTGTCCCAGGACGAGTGGCTGGGGGCTCCCAGCACAAGCGGCTGTGGGGCAGGGTGGGAACTTTTGCTGCATCGCCACAGTGTAAGTTGCCACCCCTTGGCCGCTTGTGCACTTGTGCACTTGTGTGTGAGCCTGCACCAAGAGGCCCGGGTCCACGCCTCCCAGCCTGGCGGACACAGCGAACGCAGGGCCGCTGGGCTTGGGGGCCAGGAACACACCCCTAGCCCAGTGGATACAATGCAGGGGTCCTCTGCTCATGGGCTGCAGAGGAAACACCTTTTCTTTTCTTTTTTTAAAATATATTTTATTGATCTTTTTACAGAGGAGGGGAGAGAGGGATAGACAGTCAGAAAATCAATGAGAGAAAATCAATGAATCAATGATAGACAGTCAGAAAATCAATCAGCTTTTTCCTGCACACTCCCCATGGGGATGTGCTCCCAACCAAGGTACATGCCCTTAACAGGAATCAAACCTTCAGTCTGCAGGCTGATGCTCTATCCACTGAGCCAAACCAGTTCCAGCGTAAACACCTTTTCTGATTGCTCATTGGCTAAGCTCCCTGTATGCCGCCACTTGCAGTGTTCTTAGTAACTTGGATAATAAGAATCCAAGAAGGTGATCTAGGAAAAAACGAAGGTCTGCTGCTGGAGGGGCTAAGAAATGTCATATCCTGCCCTAGCCAGTTTGGCTCAGTGGATAGAGCCTCAGCCTGCAGACCACAGGGTCTGGGTTCAATTCTGATCAAGGGCATGTACCTAAGTTACAGGCTCCTCCCTGGCTGGGGTCCAGGTCAGGGCTCATGCAGGAGACAACCAACCAATGTGTCCCTCTCACACTGATGTTTTTCTCTCTCTCCCTCTCTCTCTTTCTTCCACACTCTCTGAAAATCAATGGAAACATAGCCTCAGGTGAGGAAAAAGAGAAAGAAAGAAAGAAAGAAAGAAAGAAAGAAAGAAAGAAAGAAAGAAAGAAAGAAAGAAAGAAAGAAAGAAAGGAGGGAGGGAGGGAGGGAGGGAGGGAGGGAGGGGAGAGGAGAGAGGGAAGGAGGGAGGAAGGAAGGAAGGAAGGAAGGAAGGGAGGGAGGGAGGGAGGGAGGGAGGGAGGGAGGAAGGTCATATCCTATGAAAGACACATCTTGAAAATGCCTAAAGAAAGTTGTCATTTTTTCATGGTGAAGGGACTATAGTTTGTGTGGATGACAACACCTTGGTGGCTGCTGTGCCAGGCAGTGGCTGCAGCAGTGGGGTGATGAGGCTGGCGCCTTCCCCTGATCAACCTGGTCACCTCCCGCAGAGAGGGGAGTGGGCCTAAGTAGTCAGTAGGACATCCCCTGAGGCAACCCAGTCTGTGAGAGGGGGCAGACTGGGATGAGGAGATTCCCCCCTCCCCAAAGTGCACAAAGTTTGTGCACTGGGCCCCTAGTAGCAAGATAAAAGAAGTTAAATTCTCTTTGCGCCTCTATGCCAAGACTTTTCTTCTATAATATAATAAATTCCTGGGTGTCTGTGAGCACTGTACTTCAAAGCTTTTTGGTGGAGTGAACAGAGCAGGTGCACCTGGGAAACTTACACTTCTAAATCTCTGGTTCTCCCCTTGCTGGGAGTGAGGGTGGAGGAAAGATAGCAAAGTTGCATAGGAATTCTCTCAAGGGAAGAGAGTGTTGTGCGCGAATGTATCCACGTGTGAGCTGGTGGAGGAGGGAGTGTTGTAAACACTTTCAGGAGATTCTGGTAAACACCCGTATTTCTTCTGATATTAAATCGCTGCCTGCAGATGAGCAAGTAAGCGTCATCACTTGCTCATGGTGGGGCTTATGATGTAGGAGTTGGCTCTGGTAGGTGATAAATTCAGGAAGCAGGCTCCCGTGGTGGAATGGAGGCAAAAATCATCGCAGTAAAAGCCGGGAAAGGTGAAGCTGGGATGTGGATGCGTCCACCACGGGATGGCTGAGGCTTTGTGTTTCTCTATCACCCTCAGCACTTTCTCAAGCACCTGACGTGCGTGCGTTCAATAAACACTCTTTGTAGGCTGCACGTTTCAGAAAAATGCATTACTTTTAATATCAATCATGTTAGCATGCAACACTGCTAAATACAAAAGTCATACAAGCTCATACATGACTTCAGAGGCTGCCACTTGCAATTAAAGTACAATTGAGGGCCCATGGAGATCCCACAAATCATAGACCTTTCCCGTTTTCACTCCATGACTGTCCATTTTCTCCCTATCATGAGAGGTGTCACAGAGCATTGCTATCCGCAGGCAGTTACATTTCTTGACCTTATGTCGTTTCTCTGGAGAGAAATAGCAGTGTCATTCGTCCTCTAAAACGGTGTGTTTCCACGGGGTCTGAGGAAGACTGGAGGGTAGGGCACTGCCATGTGCAGCTCTGGGGGTATTGCCCCCAAAGTGAAGGATACCTGTTATCTGTGGGTAAAAACATTTCCATGAATTATGATAACTACATCCTGGCTTAGGAGGCTCACTATCGATAAAAGTTAAATTGAGTGAGTTCACACTTGTTGCAAATGGATCAAAAACCTGAAACTGTCATATTTCCAGGTAAACAAAATGGGTAGCATGAGACATAAAAAAATATGTAAATTTATAGACTACATGCCAGAAAAATAACTTTTGGGAAGTATAACAGAAAAAAAAAAAATAAGTGCTCATTGAATTTCTTTGTTTAAAAAGTACACTTTCCATGATTTAGACACATCTCTGTCATTACTCACATAGGTCATCTCTAGGAGAGCAATTCCCTTCCTGGAACTCAGTTTCCTTTTCTAAAATGTGGAGGTCAACTCGTTCCTATTTGGAAACACATGCCCTGTTGTTGGCTTTGTTTTGTCACTGTGATGGGGAAAGCTCCTTCTAGACCAGTGGTTCTCAACCTGTCTAATGCTAAGACCCTTTAATACTGTGGTGACCCCCAACCATAAAATTATTTTTGTTGCTGCTTCATAACTGTAATTTTGCTACTGTTAATGAGTTGTAGACAGATAAAGATAGGTGCAGATCTTAATCTCATCATTTATAGCCTCTTAAGCTTTGAAAAGTTGTATCTCATTTCCCCCTTACTTTGCTAATCTGTGAGATGGGATAACACTACCTCTTACATTGAATTTTTTGGTGATTAGATAGAAGAATATGTGCTGGGAAGCATATTGGTTGGTTTATAGGCATTCACTGTGTATTATCAACCAGTGGCTTCCTACCCTTTCCTTCTCTCCTTAAAAAATGCAGTTCCTTATGTATTATTGACTTGCACATCAAAGATATTATAATAAAATCTGGAAGATACTATGAACTTTTGCTGAGTAACATGTGTAAAGGAGATGTATTGGAAAGTGGATTTTTATCTTTCATCTTGGGAATGCCTCTGGTTTTGAATGCAGCAAAGTGGCAGTGAGAGGTCAAATTAATTCAAAAGCTCCATATGACTTCACAGTTCAGCACTAGTATATATTCAAAGACAGGCAGAATGCCACATGCATTAATCATAGTGTATCACAAAGGAATATCAATCCCCCATAAATACTCAGCACTAGTCCTAAACTTTACAAAATCACACAACATCAGTGTGAGATTCCACAACTTGAGGGGGGAAGAGAATCTAACCTAGAGTCACAAGAAAACTAAGGGGATAGTAAAATGAGGATATTGAAAAGTGGGTTTTATGGGTTGGGCGGTTTAAATGGATACCAATGACTGTCTAAAACAGCCTCAAGAACCTCTTTCCCACTTGAAGGCCAATCACAGGCAGATTTGTTTGAGTTTTAAGTGGACATTTTGGGCCCTAATGTATTAGATAGAAGAAAGTTCTCTGAAAGCTCATTGTTCGGCTGTTTTCTGAGAAATTCACACTATTACCATTTTTTTCTAGAAATCTATGCCTGAGGACCAAACAATACCCATGCCTTTCTCCCTCTCCTTTGAAGAGGACTGTTAGCGGGTGGAAGGATGAGGAGAGGCTTAACCTTCCATCCTGCTTGCAAATACAAAGGAAGGCTGAGTTCCTGGTGTATCCATAGAGTTACCTGTTGAAATGCTGTCTAGCCCTCTTCATATGGGACTGTACTGAGATCTCAAGGACAGGTACGTGGGCTCATTATCATAAAGGGCTTCCCTGTTGTCCAGTAACTCATGAGCCAATCGCATATTACGGGGTCCTTATTTATTACCTCTGACAAATGACGTCATAATACTGACCAGAGGGACTACACTGCTCAGAGAAGCTTCCCAAATAAGAACCATGATGTCAAAACACGGCTGAGGCCATCAACAGTATTAATGAGGGTTTTGTTAGCTTCTAATGATGATGATGATTATATCAGAATGCAATTCACACTCGTTATTAGTAAAAGTTTAGAAACATTAAAAAGTGCATAATAACATCTGGATCTGATAGGGCTGAGTTAAAAGACAAGAAAACCACAAGACGAGGGCTTTACTTTTGTGATTGGTGTCCACGTGATTGCAAGGAGATCATTTTCTCCATCTTTCTCATCTTCCTAGAGATAAGCTGTCTTCAATAGTTTAACAGTAGCATACAGCACTGTGAGAAATTTGATTCCATAAGAATAAAACATTTCCAGTTGTTAGCATTATCCTGGCTTCTCTTTCCCACCTTCCTCATTCTCCAAAATCCTCACAATTATAAATAAAAGTATTAGTTGGGGGAAAGTTCTGCACTTGGGAATAAAACAAAATTTGCAGATTGTATTCTGGTCTGTGCAGACACCAAACAAACTCAATTCAGGTAGTATTCACATTAACGGATATTTTCCAAATTCTGGCCTCATAAAAGCAAAGGCAACCTGATAAATCTGTTATAGTCTTCATCGATTCATCAGCAGTGAATCAAGGGGAAAGTCTACTTTTAAAAAGGAAAGTGTGCTCTATCCTGTGTACACCACTACACCGTGGAGGAGAAAAGAAGGCAGCCCTTTTAAAAACGAGTGGTATAAAAATTCACAGTAACGTACATGGTTTTTTGTTTTTCATGAGCAATCAAAGAAGGGGGCAGTGCCGAGCATCTATATTATACAATACAAAACAGTGTAAGTCACACGGCAGGATCACACGGACACAAGTTGCTAAAAAACAGTGCTTTCTGGGTAGTTCTCTTACTGGGTGAATACTTGGGCCAGAGACACTTAAACTCTGGGATCAACCAACCCTTTGCAATTAGACACAATTAAATCCTCTGACACTGTGAGGGGCCAGATGCTACGGGGAGGATCATCACGTAGGTTGCTGCTACCGTCTACAAGCATTTCGTCATGTGGTCAAGTGCACGGAATCCGTACGTGGTGACATCCAGACACAAGCCACGCGACTTCAGCCATTGCTAAGGACAGAGGTGGAGAAAGGTCTGTCTGCGGCCAGAGCCTCTGCCCCCATGTCTAACGGGACGGCGAGCAGATCCCTGCCGGGCAGCACAGCCATTCCCTTTCTCCCCTCGTCCCTCCTGGACACAAATGTACTCCAGCCAGGCCCGGGGACCTGAGACATCATCAGGCTGAGGAAGATCAGCGTGGGGTGTGGTTAGCTTTGGGGTTTGGACGCTTCCCCCTCAGCTTCCCCACTCTGTTCTGTGGAACTCCGCTGGGCATCCTTTTCACCTTCTGAAAGAGACAAGGGGACAAAGGATGAAGGCAAAATAAAAGTCATCACTGACATTTACCCACTCTCCACATAGGCATATCACACTGGGAATTTAAGAAATATTCCAGACCTCAGAAATCCTCATAGAAAAAGTGTTTTCTTTTCTTTTCTTTTCTTTTTTTCTATGTTGTCAGTTTTCTTATTAGAGATATTTCAATTTTATTTTTTATTTGTAATATATTTTATTAATTTTTTACAGAGAGGGATAGAGAGTTAGAAACATCGATGAGAGAGAATCATTGATCAGCTGCCTAATGCACACCCCCTACTGGGAATGTGCCAGCAACCAAGGTACATGCACCTGACCAGAATCGAACCTGGGACCTTTCCGTCTGCAGGCCAGCGCTCTATCCACTGAGCCAAACCGGTTTCAGCAAGTGTGTTTTCTTGGTAATTAATTATCCATCAAGAAAATAGCTTAAGTGGGCTAGCTAATTCTGGTTCTGTGATCTTGGTACAGCCTGGCTCAAAAACAAAATAACTGAATTTTCACAGTGGTTAAGTGACCTTGTGCGCCTTTGGTGAGTAACTAGGAAATCTCACACCCATGTCCTGGCGCTCATTTTTAAAAAGGATTTTGGGGGGCAGAAGTCACAAGTATCATTAGGCCGAAATCAGAAGTGGGGAGCAAGTTTCCCTTTTTATTCCCGATTTTCTTAATTTAAGACTTATTATGCATTTTACATCACTTATAGCACTTGATGATAACCCCCGCTGGTTTCTCAGAGGATTCATTACTTTACATTAAAAGCAATAGTGGCAAATGAAGTGGCCAGCTGGTCAGTCCCTTGTCACACAGCAGTGATGGCTTGGCCTGCCCTTGGGGAGCACACACAGCTCCGATAGAACCACCTTCCTCACTGCACCCTCTGCAGCAATTCCAGCTAGTGATGCTGCAAACACCGAAACTAAGCTAGGCTTTCTCTCCATACAGGTCACTTCACCTGAGGGCAAGCTGAGGGAATCCTTGATTCAAAGATACATATATTTGCTTGTGGTAGTTCATTACTAAGCAACCAATAATGACTTCATGGACAAAATATTTGGGGATATTGCAATCATCTACAATAATAAAAGCATAATATGCTAATTAGACCAGGTATCCTTACAGACAACCTTCTGGATGAAGCCGGCGAAGGGAGGGAAGCCTGGGTCCCGGGTGCCAGAGGGAAGCTGGTGCCAGCAGCCAGGGGAAGAAAGGCCTATTCTTGCACAAATTTCATGCATTGGGCCTTTAGTGTAAATTAGAAAAATGTTTGCTAAGAGTTTGTTATCATAATTCAAAGAGTTAGAGGTAAGTGAGCTGGTCCATTCTTGAGGTGAAAATGTTGAAAAGTGAATTCTCCTTTAGTCTTAATAAGTACACACAAAACATCTCACCGTATACCACACTTTAAGGAAATTAAAAGTAGTTCTTTTACATTAAAAAATAATTTCATTCTAAAGGGGTCCCAAGAACAGTACATATCAGATATATTCTCACACACTACTTTCATTATAAAGCAATGACTAGGCACACAGATGTGCAGATGTCCTGAAACTAAGATGTGCAGATTAGCATGCAACAAGAACTTGATAAAAAGGAGAAGTTCTTGGTAACCAAATGAATGAAGTCAAATTAGGGCAGTTGCAAGAAAGTAGAATATTTAAAGATGAAACTTGTTCCATACTATGTGTGCCAGTTAATAATGCGATTTTGTAATCAAAGAAAACATAATTTCAAGAGAAACATCTAAAGTGCTTTATTCAAAGTAATGTCCATCGCTAGCTACACATTTCCCCCATCTTTCAGATAATTAGTGGATACCATCCCAATAGAACTTTTCTTGTTTTAAGGCAAACCATTCAGAGACCCAATTTTCCACTTCTTCTTACATTTTGAAGTGCTGCTCAGAAAGTGCATGTGCCATCACTAGGAACAGGTGGTAATCTGAGGGAGCAAGGTCTGATGAATATGGTGGGTGGGTTAATACTTCCCAGGCAAGATCTTTTAATGTGTCTTTAACTGGTTTTGAAGTGTGATGATGAGTCATCATGAAGCAAAATTACTTTGCCATATCTTCTGGCACATTCTGGTCATTCCACAATCAAAGCATGGTTCAAATTGATTATTTGTTGTCAATAGTGATTACTATTAATGGTTTCACCTAGTTTTAGAAGCTCATAATACACCACACCTTCCTGATCCCACCAAACACAGAGCATTGTCTTCTTTCCAAAGCAATTTGGTCTTGTAGTTGATCTTGATGGTTGACCTGGATCAACCCATGATTTTGTGCATTGGGATTCTCAAAATAAATCCACTTTTCATTACCAGTCACAATTCGATGCAAAAAAGACTTTTTTTGTGTGCCATTGAAGCAACATTTTACTGATGACTTTTCTGTTTTCCATTTGTCTTTCCTTCAGTTGATGTGGCACCCATTTTCCTTCCTTTAAAATTTTTCCATTGCTTGTAAATGTTTGAAAATTGTTTGCTGAGCAACGTTTAATCTTCCTGCAAGTTGTTTTTCAGTTTGACATGATTCTTCATACAATAATGATTATAATTGTTGATCTTCAAACTTTTTCAGTTGACTTGGACATTCTTTATCTTTCACACCGAAATTACCTTTAAAGTGGTTAAATCAGAGTTCACAAGTATTTTAAGATGGAGCATGTTCACCATAAGCTTCCCAAAGTATAAAGTAATGAATTAAAACTTCCCACAAATGCTCTTTTTTTGGCACGAAATTTGACATTTTTAAGCATAAAAAATATCTATGATGTTAACAACTTCAGAAAAGTTGGCATATGAAGTTTTGAAGTTTGCTGTCAACACAACAAAATAGTGTACATATCAAATCAAATATATATATCAAATCCATCTATTGAAAAAAATCTGCAGTATTAATTGGTACACCTAGTAAATACAAGATGAGGAATTTGACCCCCATGGTGTTTGGGACTTCCTAGGTGATTTATTCTAGAGTTTCTGGAGACAATTCTCTGGGTTTAGCATAATGCTATAAATGGCTAAGTAGGTGATTGTTAACAAGTTAAGGTAAACATGGGGTAGCAATAATGTTGAGTGTAAACTAAAAGAAGCTGAAATACTTAAGAATTACAGTTCTTAGCTGGTAATATTTTGTTTGCCAGGATATAGTTGTTGTTGTTATTGTAGAGCATTTGAATGGGAAATCCTATAAAGAGAAGTCATTGAAAATGGAGTGGGAATGAGAGATCATTCCCTGATTCTTATCCTACATTAGACTCTTTATAACTCAATAGACTATTTTTGAAGGTGGATTGTCATGCCTTAATCTGACTTGGTGAAATGCAGACATCATTCTATGTTCATAGAGAGATGTGTATCAAACAACTCACCTGTCTTGTTAATATCAAGTCCTGCTAATTTCAAGGCTAATTCATTGCTGTTACCACTTGCAGAGGAAACCAGGATATCATGTATTGCATTTCTTCTTCCTGTTCTTCCTGAAGCAATAAAGTCTGCATATGTAGTTTCCACATCAGTCATTGCTAACAAATATCCACATAGCAGGAACTAAAAAACAAAAACACACACATAAATTAGTAGGTAAATATAATGTTGCAAGACACTTGATAAATTATGGCTTATAATATGAATGTGAAATAACTGTTTTGCTTACATGGCCACAAAGCAAGAAATGCTTTTCTTCTTGATCAAGGGTCAGGAAATGTTTTTGTAAAGGGCCTGATAGTAAATACGTTAGGCTTTGAGGGACATATGGTCTCTGTCCCAGCTACTCAACTCTGTGGTTGTAGTACAAAAATAGTCGAAGATAATGTTAAACAAATATTATAAACAAACTGTATTTACAAAAATAAACATAGGGCCAGAATTGGTTCACATGCCATAGACAGTAGCCACTTGGTTTAGATCATAAAATTCTTCTCTAATGCCATGTCAGTCAGCTTTCAACTTCAGAGAAGAGAATTTGAGGTCAGTTGTATGCCAAGGCGAGAGGGTTCAGGGGAGGTGGAAGTGGTACATCCTAAAGATAAGAATTAAGCTAGCACCTCATCTACAGAAAGTCTAAGAACAATAATAAAACTGAGCAAAATCCAGTTTTCTTTTTATCATCAGCAATGCTATGACAAGCAATTCTAAACAATGTCAGGAATCAAACACTGCCACAAATGAAGGACAGCGCCCATGTGGCCCCTTGGGAAGCCATTGCTTGAGACGAATAATAATCTTTCTTGACTGAATCTTTGAAATAAAATTTCAGCTTTACAAAGGAGTCAAAGTGAATTTTCTAGAACTTGGTGATACACATCCTTAATGAAAGACATAATGAAAAGAATGGCAACAAATAAATACCTATCAATAATAACCTTAAATGTAAGTGGCTTAAATGCACCAATCAAAAGACGTAGGGTAGCTGAATGGATAAGAAAACATAACCCATATATGTACTGTCCTCAAGAGACTCACCTCAGAAAAAGGACTCACACAGAATGAAAGAGAAGAGATGAAAAAAATATTTTTTTCCAAGCAAATGAAAGTGAAAATGAAAAAGTTGGAAAGGTAATATTCATATCTGACAAAATAGACTTCAAACTGAAGGCCATAATAAGAGATAGTGAAGGATACTTCACAATAGTAAAAGGATCAACACAACAAGATGATATAACCCTGCTAAACATATATGCACCCAATACAGGAGTATCCAGATATATTTAAAAATTTCTGGAGGATTTAAAGGGAGAGATTGGTAGCAATACAATCATAGAAGAGGACTTTAATACTCCACTGAAATCATTGGGTAGATCTAGACAAAAAATAAACAAGGAACCAGTGATCCTAAATGAAACACTAGATCAGATGGAATTAATCAACATTTTTAGAGCATTTTACCCTAAAGCTACAGAATATACATTCTTTTCAAGTGCACATGGGATATTTTAAAAGATATACTACATGTTAGGACATAAAACAAGTTTCTACAAGTTCAAGAAGATTGAAATCATATCAAGCATCTTCTCAGGTCATAATGGCATGAAATTAGAAACACTCAGGAACATTCAAACACATGGAGGCTAACACATGTTATTAAACAACTAGAGGCCCAGTGTAGGAATTTGTGCATGGGAGGGGCCTGGCCAGCAATTGAAGCCAATTGGGGCCGACTTGCCCAGTTCCAGATAGGGGTCTATCGGAGTCAGCTGGCTGTGGGAGGTTGGTCATGGGAGCACACTAACCACCAGGTGGTAGCTCCTGCATTGAGCATCTGTCCCCTGGTTGCTTTGCATGTCATAGCTACAGGTGGTTGTCCAGTCATTTGGCCATAACATTCACTTAGGCTTTTATATATATATGAATGGGTTACCGTAGAGATCAAGAAAGAAATAAAAAATATCCTGGAAACAAATGAACATTAACACACAACAACCCAAAATCTATTGGACACAGTGGAAGCAGTTCTGAGAGGGAAGTTCATAACATAACAGGCCTACCTCCAAAAAACAAGAAAAACTTTTAATAAGCTACCTAACCCTACAACTTAAAGAACTACAAGAGAACAAGAAGAAAAGCCCAGAGTAGGTAGAAGGAAGGAAATAATAAATATCAAAGTGGGAATAAATGGCATAGAGACTAAAAAAAAACAATACAAAAGATCAATAAAACCAAGAGCTGGTTCATCAAACAAGATTGATGAACTTCTAGCCAGACTCATCAACAAACAAAGACAGAGGACCCAAATAAACAAAATCAGAAATGACATGAGTGAAGTAACAACTGACCTCACAGAAATGCAAAGGCTTATTAAAAAAATATTATAAACAACTATACTCCAACAAACTGGACAACCTGGATGAAATGGTCATATTCCTAGAAAAATCCAATCTTCCAAAATTCAATCAAGAAGAAACAGAAAATTAAATAGGCCAATAACTACTGATAAAATTGAAGCAGTAATCAAAAATCTCCCAACAAACAAAATCCCTGGTCTGAATGGCTTCACAGGGGAGTTTTACAAAACATTCAAAGAAGAACTAACACCTATCCTCCTCAAACTATTACAAAAAAATTCAAGAAGAAAGAATACTTCCATATTCTTTTTATGAGGCCAGCATTATCCTAATTCCAAAACCAGATAAAGACATTACTAAGAAAGAGAATTATAGGCCAATATCCCTGATGAACATAGATACTAAAATCCTCATTAGCAATACATTAAAAAATCATATGCCATGACCAAGTGGGATTTAGCCCAGGTATGCAAGGCTAGTACAATATTCACAAATAAATAAATGTGATACATCACATAAATATATTAGAAGACAAAAATAATGTGATCATATCAATTGATGCAGAAAAAGCATTAGACAAAATCCAACACCTATTTTTTGATAAAAATTCTCAGCAAAATGGGAATAAAATGGTCATACATCAACAAAATTAAAGCCATAAATAACAAACCTACAGCCAACATCATACAATGGGAAAAACTAAAAACATTTTCCCTAAGAACAGGAACAAGACAGGGATGTCCACTTTCACCACTCTTACTCATAGCCACAGTGATCAGACATGAAGAATACATAAAAGGCATCCAAATTGGAAAGGAGGAATAAAAACTATCATTATTCACAGATGACATGATCCTGTACATAGAAAACCCTAAAGGCTCCATAAAAAACAACAACACTAGATTTAATAAATGAATTTGGCAATATAGCAAGATACAGAATTAACACTCAGAAATCAGTAGCATCTTTATACACGAATAATGCACTCTCAGAATGAGAAACAAAACATATATATATATATATATATTTTACCATTGCAACAAAAATAAGATACTTAGAAATAAAGTTAACCAAAAAGGTAAAAAGATTTGTTCTCAGAAAACTACATGATGCTGAGAAAAGAGATAGAAGATATATTATAGATAAAACAAGTGGATTGGTAGAATCAAAATCATTAAAATGTCTGAACTAACCAAAGCACTCTATAGATTCCATGCAATTCCTATTAAAATATCAATGGCACATTTCACAGACCTAGAACAAAGTCTCCAAAAATGTATATAGAAGAAAAAAGACCCTGAATAGCTGCAGCAATCTTTAGAAAGAACAAAGTTGGAGAGATCACAATACCAGATATCAAGTAATACTGCAAAGCAACTGTTCTCAAAACTGGCTGGTACTGGCACAAGAAAAGAACAGAAACCCCAGAAACTGACCCAAGCCATTATACTCAATTAATATTTGACAAAAAAAAAAAAAAAAAAAAGGCAAAAGCATACAATGGAGTCAATATAGTCTCTTCAATAAATGGTGTTGGGAAAACTGAACAAGTACATGCAAAAAAAAAAAGAAAGAAAGAAAGAAAGAAAGAAAGAAAGAAAGAAAGAAAGAAAGAAAGAAAGAAAGAAAGAAAGAAAGAAAGAAAAGAAACTAGATCATCAACTTACACCATACACAAGAATAAACTCAAAATGGATAAAAGATCTAAATGTGAAACCATAAAAATCTTAGAAGAAACCATAGGCAGCAACATCTTCTAGGAATATTTCATAAGAAACAAAACACCGGTCAGAAAGAATGGATGCTCCCCTATGTTCATAGCAGCACAAGTGGGGGGAAAAGCTGTGGTACATCTACAGAATGGAATACTTATGCAGCTGTATAAAAGAAAGATCTCTTACCCTTTGAGATAACATGGATGGACCGGGAAAACATTATGCTAAGCAAAATAAGCCAGTCAGAGAAAGGTAAGTATCACATTATCTCACTCATATGTAGAACCTAATGAACAAAATAAACTGATGAACAAAATAGATCCAGAGACATATAAGCATGGAACAGACTGGTGAATCTCAGAGGGAAGGTAGGGGTGGAGGGTGAGGGGGGGAGCAATTAACCAGGGAACTTATGTGGATATACTTATGTATGGCCCCTGAACACGGACAATAAAATGGTGAAGGCTGGGAGAGGAATATGTGGGGAGAAGGTGGTCAATAGAAAAACAAAAACAAAAACAAAGGGGCCATCAGTAATACTTTGTTCCCTGGTTGAGGTGCGTATGGGAGGCAAACTACTGATATTTTTCTCTCAAATTGTTCTCTCTCTCCTCCCTTCCTCTCTCTCTAAAAATCAATAAAAATATATCCTTGAGTGAGGATTTTAAAAAAAGAAGTCCCTCTGTGACCTCAACCTTCCTAAGCCTCACCTGGGAAAACAGAAGGTGTCTTTTCTCTGATCTTATTTCTGGGTAGCTAGTGTTACCAGAAAAAGACACAAAATTGTGCCAACTGGCTCAACTAGGAGCTTGTGACACTATTATTAGTAAACACCCTGAGTTGTTGGGAAATTCTTTTGTTCACCTCTAGTTGACTCTTCCTTAAGCTTGTCTTTGTGGGAAGGATTCCAAACCCTTTCTGTCCACATAACCAGACACTACCTGCCTTCAGAGATGACTTAGGTGTTCCTTTTCTGAGAAGATACGGGACATTTGTTGCAAATTCTCTTAAATCTCTTCCTCTCTCCAACCGTTTCTCTGTGATCAGTGGC